ATTTTTGGACGGTTCTTTTATGCTTTGCGTGCATTTTTCTTTGTAAAGAGCGCAAATGAAGTTTACAGAGCTGTACGCATGTATCTCTGAAAGGCGTCTGAAAGGCGTTTGAAACACGTTTGAGAGATTAAAATATTTTACAGACATTTTTACGATGGCTCTCGGCGTTGTGTTGTATACGATGTTATCGCTTATTGATTACAAAATGCTCCTTCCAGCATCGGTACGTCTTTAAGCGTTACACGGAGAGCACTCGACATAATTATGCAATTGCATTCATCTGTGCGACTCCGACGCTCCTGTAGTAGTTGGAAATTGGTCGCTGCATCTAAGTGGCCACATAAATTCACGTGTCCGCGACTTCGCGCTGAAACCATGAAACGCACGGAGAAAGGACTAAAAAGAAAACGCTTCTGCGCCGGGTTAAATTGCCGCGTTATGTTATAACGATCTTGCATAAACGCTCGACATCTGGCTGGCTACGCGCGGCCATCGCACAAACGTTCGCCCATTCACTCGTGGACCGCGAGTGTCTGTCATTGACGTTCACTCGCGCGTCAACCTTTATGACCCGCGTCAACGTCTTCCTCGATCCCGCATCGAGAGAAGAGACGCCGTCTCATCGATCGTTAAAAATGCCGCGTCTTGTCGAGAATTTACGTACTAATTTACTACCCTTAAAACACGATACTTTACGAGCGACAGGCCTCGTTATTCGTCGCGCTAGAACGCTCTGGTATGCACTTCTTTTACAACACCTTTTTACATCGCTCGGCAAAATGAAGGCACTGCGCGGAATAAAAATGAGGCTTATCGGACGTGTTCAAGAAACTTTCAAGTTATGGACGACGAATGCTACTTCCTCTCGAATTTGTACTGTACATTTTTTACTAATTAATTCTTGAAAGAATATATCTACAGAAAGAGAGAGAAATAGTCCTTATTATTGTTCAATACGGAGAAAAAGATTTGTCTTGCTAAAAATTAATCATACAAAATAGTCGCTACTTTTTTATTTGGAATCGTCCGAGAACTAGTTTTAACGAAAAAAGGAAGTGACATCGCTTGTCGTGTCACGAAGATGATTTGTTACGCTCTTATCTGAGTAAGAATGAAATATCTTATATGCAAACATTTGTAGTGGCTCATCAAATTCAGCATTTTAGATACCGCTCTAAAAGGGGTTTCAACGCAGCTAAAAATGTTAGACTTTGTTAATATTAAGCCAATTCTTTTGATTTCACTTTTCAATATTTTGAGATATTAAATCGTCGGTAATATACTTATATGCTATACGTTACGATAAATAATTTTTCGGTACAGAGATCGATTATCTAACTGCGCTTATTTCTAATTAGATAATTTAATCAAGACATTCCCATAATCAGGAAATAAGTGATATTAATGCACTGTCACGTCGCTGACGCCTAATGCAATATACATATTTAGACATACAAATATATGTGTATGATTAGAAATATAGATTAATAATCGATTATTCAATGATTTTGCATGTGATTAAAAATTTCGATAATTTTGTATTTTAGTCACCAGTCTTTTAATGCCGTACTCCTCACCCTTGGGAAGAAATTATAAACCAGACGAAGGTCGTCATGGATTGATTAACGATACAATGGCTTTTCCAATCGTAGCCACACGTAACGACTCTTCCGTTACCTACGTATGCACATGTGCGTATACGCACGCATGAAACACGTAAAGGGATTCGCAGGCGTGTCGCCGTATGAAAAAACACGGGACATTGCCTCCTACCATGACCCACTGACACACAACAGCGAAATAACCAGACGCCCTTTCGTCGTTATCCAATATATCATAACAAGTGCCTCATCACGTATTTACGCGTGAGCCTAAATGCGATCGAAACAGTTCTTAATATCTTCCTTGCTAGCAGGCGGAATCACGCGCGTCTCTGCGACATTATGTAATTGATAAATATCACCAAAGAAGTGTGATGTCAAGGTCCGAATCAATTACAAATGTTTGAATCGAGTTTGCTTATGATGGTGTTTCGGAACATGTTTTGAGAGTGTTGAAATGCGCGTGATCAAATTAATTTGAAGAGTGCACGAGACATTTTTATGCACTCTTGAGGCCTTTTATTATTCTACTATTCTTGGCTATGTTTAAAAAAATTATAATAGAGGGAGAGAGAGAGAGAGAGAGAGAGAGAGAGGGTGTAGAGGTTTTCTAGAAATATTTCATCACTGTGCAAAAATAACTTTGCGGTTTCATGACTTCTATGAAAGAATTAATATATTTCTTGAAGCAAATTATTCAACATTCATTTCATATCTTCATGGTCGAAGATAATTTTAATTTATCTTGTATGCAAACTGGATTCAAAATAAATGCATTAACTCTATTGCATTTATTTTAAATACTTTATTAATTTTTCTAGTGTAAAAAAGAGTTAACAAATGTTTCTAAAAAATTTCTAATTTCCAAATTTGTTTATTCTTCGGAGTAATTATTGGATTTGACTTGGTAATACGCATATCTTTATGAAAAGATATTTCTTCATTAATCATAAAAAGAAGAAGAAGAAACTTAAAACTAATCATTATTGGCACAACGATCATATTAATACAACAAGATAACAAACGCGTTTATAAAAATTGCTTAATAAGAACAAAATAGTATTTCTAATTATCATTTGCAAGTTAATAGATATAATTTAAATGCATTTTATATAAGTTTATTCTGCGAAATCACTTATTATTAGCATTTAATAAGAAATGCATTCACGTTTATTTCCACGTAATAGTCCGGTTAAGTTGTCCAATGAATATCAACGGTAACACGTGTTTACTATACGCTAGGCAAATAATCGGCGACTATAGGCGCGTACTGTGTCCCATGTAAGTATGTGTGCGCGTCGATTTTATTGTTAATTTTGCAAAATTGCAAATTGCGATCGTGTGATCGCGAATGTTGATTAGTGTGTACTGCGCGTAAAAAAAATACAGCCAACAACGGCGCCGCAGATTCCCGTAATTACAGGTTGGCTGATGAGCAGAGGAGTCACTATCGAAAGGAAATAATCTTGTTTACGCAATTCTATCGATTGGAATACAACCACGTCAGAGGAATTCTTTTGATCTAAGCGGTTAACGCAATTTTGTTATTTCACGCCGTCTCAATTACTCTCTCGAGATTTTCGCTCTTTTGATCCTTGTCATATCAGCTGCGAGTGAATTTATCGTACACAATAATCACTCAGTACCGTTACGGTCTTGTGAGCACAGCAAGTTAGCTATTCTGAATGCAGCGGATATCCGGCACAACTTTTCATATCTTTCTCCCTCTGGAGAGGCATGATGTTTGTCGATTAGTGCTTTTTTTACTTTACATTCCACGTAAATATTTTGTAAGCTGACAGTTTGACACGTGCATCATTTGTTAAAAGCGCGATGAAAAATGGAGCGTTTCATTTCGAATGAATGTCATGTTCGAAATGTATATTAATATTTTACACAGATAAATGCCCGCAAAGCATAGTTTCATACTATTAAAATTAACATACCTTATGACATAAAGTCTTACATCTATCTCGTAAATCAGGATGTCACATTCCAATAAATGAATCATTCATCTTCCATACGAATGGAAACAAATGACATAGTTCATAGCTCCATTATCAAACAATGGTTGACATATCCACTTTACAACATCTATAAACTGCTTTTCACTCTGACCCCATTTACACTGCATCCGTTGGATACATAGGAATTTATGTTGCATTTAAAGCCATTGTTTCTGAAACGACTAAGTCATTCTCGGATGCCATTTAAAAATTATTTCAAACCCTTTGTTTTGTTTATTTTTAAGTGAGTTTATATATGGAGAGGGAGATACATGCAAAAGATGTATAAGTTATGGAATAAACGTGCCTGATATTTTCTATCATGTCACCATCAGCGACCGACTGATATCTGACTTTAACATAAAATATTTATGGCGAATTTACGTTCGGGGAACATCACGCACAAGCAGCGTATCTTCGAAACTCATAAAATCGATTTAGCCGTGACACACTTTTCGCTAATTCCCCAGCCGGTTCCGAAGCGCACATGCCGTTTACGATTTTGTAGAATGATCTAGTTGTTACCGATTGTACAATCGGATTGATCGTATTGGCACGAAGCGGTAACCCGTTGAAAGTGAAATTGTGAGATAATTTGTTTATGAAGCTCTTCCTTTTTCCTCTTTCAGACAAAACCTGTTTCGCTTGCGTCTGTCATGCGATGTAATGCATCACCGAGATATTAATATCCATGATACTTTGAAATTAATCAATAAAATGCGACAATACTTCCCAAGCGAGCAATCATGCGTGCAGGGTAGAAACGTTCAAAGCATTAACGAGGAAGCGCTGCTGTTTTCCAAACATTTAAATAAAAAGGATGCTAAAAAAATACAAGAGCACAGATGGTGGGCGATAATTTGAGGTTCATTCACACTAGGCGGAAGTTCGGACGGTACTCGGAAGTGAAATACGAATCTCGCCCATTTTTATAGCTCGAGAATAGCGAATCGTTACATCATTGCTGTGATTTATTAAGCAAAGCGTACCGCAAGTATCTAATAATTTAGTCTAGCTTACAATTAGAAGACAAGGTGTACGAGTGGATATAGTACATAAATCTCGGTCAGCGCAATGACTGCTTTATGTCTTTTTTTTTTTAATGGCGTTTGCGCAATGCAGATAATTTATCCATTGCGCAACGCGAGAGGGAGGTATGTAAAAAAAACTGAACTATTTCTTTTTAAGGTGTAACGTGCTATTACACATCTCATACAATTTTGCGCAACTCGTCCGAATGTTAGAAGATTGAGCTTTTAAAGAAGTCGAGGGTTTTCAGTTTTTATATTAGGTCCTCACAACAAGGCAGATATTATTGTTACATTTGTTTGTGCAATTTACTTGTAAATTCTTTGATTTTTTTGTTAAGTGAATCCTTTGATTTTTCTTGCAGATGGCGTGGCTCCGTTTACAAGCTAATCTGGCGAGAACTACTGGCGTACCTATTCTTCTACTACCTCATCAACTTTACGTATCGATACGTGCTGAACGAAAACCAACGACAGTGAGTAGACAAGTATCCCCGGAACTAAGTGATAATTCCCGTAAATTCCATTCTTTACGAGAAAGCGGAAGGCTAAAGATATTTCGGACCGAGAAATTATTTCGAAATAAAACCCTGGCACGTACATTGATTTGGGGCGACAGCGCGCATCTTTTTATCGAATCCCTTCTCGTATTCGGTGACGATTATTCCCGACCATAATTTTAATTCTATACAATTGCCTCGGAGGAAACGCAGGAAGCATAATACTCGATTCACAAGGCGATGCGGGGTGGCAAACGTGTTCAATGTATGTATAAATAATTTGAGCAGACAACGTTTGTCTCTTGATCCGTGCAAGGAGAACGATTTAAACCCGCACTTTCCGCTGATTATCAACTCGCTTGTCGCGTTCTTATCACAAATAATGCCGAATTCAACGATCGTCCAGCTGGTGCGTGAGCGTACCTGCCATAACTGTATTTTATGGGCGTAGATAAAACCGTGCAATATCAACCTTGGCCCGCCAGCAAATCCGAAGGTTCCAACACTTTGATCACGGTCACGCGTATCATCGGCTAACATCGAAGAATTTACAATATACCTTCTTTTTATTAGTATTCATTGTTGTATTTTTGCCACGTTCGGTAACCTTTTCCTCGTTTACCTTCGTGATGTTCGATCTGTTGCAAACGGGACTAAGCGATGGAGGTCTATCGCGTATATTAGTGAACAACAATTTCTAAATATAAAAGCTATAAATTCTAATGATATTAAGGCGTGCGATTGTTCCTTGAATTCTTAAGCAGTTGCTATGAGTTCGCGCACTAATTTTGTGAAGTTAATCGAGATATTCTATCTTTGGCAACATAATATGCGTTTTTGTGTCTTCGCTGTGAATTCGTTAAACAATGCGACTTGTGTCCAAGGACAATCGATGGTTCACTCCTACAGTGAACGCAAACGACTGTTGTAACAACAGGTATAATTACGACACATATCCAAGTAGTAATACAATAAGCTTACACTTAAAAATAACACTTGCGCGATATGTTGTCATTATTATGTGATAAATGTGTATTAAGAAATTACAATCTACGTATATCTAGATACAGACATAGTAGTTTTCTCATAACTTACTTAATAAACATCAATGCAATTAACTTCTTACAATGTGCGATTTCTAAAAGGATTCCTTTGACGCGTCCTGTACACAGGGACTAAATCATGATACGCCAAGAAATGCGTTGAACACAAGCGTCCGTGTCCGGCATTAAAAAAGGGTATAAAAATGTAACCAGTTATTTATGCGGGGCTGAAAAAGGGGGATAAAGAAGTGCCAGAAGAAAGCGCAAGGATGTAAAAAGATTTCTCCTTTAAATTGCTTCGATTCGTCCGGGCTAAATTTAGAACTGTAGAGGTGGTTTAAAGCGGGTTTAGGACCCAGGGTAAAGAAATGAAATGAGCGATTCAGCATTACTGAAGGCGGGGGCTAAGCGGACTGCGCGCGGTGGTGTGCAAGATTAATAGTCTTTCATTAATATTTCAAAATTCCTTTCGCGTTCAGATTTATCTGAAAACAAACTTCATTTCTTTAGACAAGTCTAAGATTACCCCTCGCGTTTCGATATATGCAAAATACTTTTTACGACGTCTCGTAAAAGTATTTTTTTAATTATCAGATTACTTTATTGAGTGTGTCCTCTTGGAGAAAGTGTTTGATACTGCCTCATCGTCGTTCGAATGACTCTATGATATCGATATCAGTTTCTCGTGGCCATGATATTGTACGTTCAGGTAACGGTCAGTCAATATTACCTCAAGAGTGTGAATACGGTGCCAGTTATTCGCGGAAATTCCAACATAAACCCACTTACTGAAATATCTTGGAATCGCGGCGTTAATCGTTCAGGATTGATGTGTGAAGTCGTAAAAATGAAGACGGCTACTTTTACGCGCGGTGATTATGCTCTTCTTAAAATGACCCGTTGCGAGGCAATAACCGATATTGGCGAGCGAAGCGAGTAAGAAATTAAACTCGAAGACGCTTTCGATATAATAGATTTGTGCTTTCGCCCGCGAAAATAAGGTAGAAATTTTCATACATTAATACTGGATCATGTAAGGCAGTCCTATTTTTGGACGCGCGCGAGTGACAGTATTACTTCAACCTTGCTCCACTTCGAGCGCGTGCAAATTTGCACAGAAAGTCCTATCTAACGTTTGGTAAACTTTACCAATATTCTAACACTCGTCAGCATTTCGAGTGGATTAGCTTTCTGCAATCTCTTAAGAAATATATGTTTCTTTACTCATATTCGTACTAATAGTCTGATCCACTATATTTATAATAATTATGACAGTACAATAATGTAAGGGTATAACGTGATTAAAATGTATATGCATAAGAGGAGAGATTTTATTTAATTAAAGTGAAGAATCGAACGAAAGTTTGAGCAATTGATAACTGTTCTATAAAATTGATATCTTTTCTGCAGAATTTTCGAAAAAGTTCGTTATTACTTCGGCAACTCCAGCGATTCCATACCCATGTCGTTCGTCCTGGGATTCTACGTAAGCCTTGTTGTGAAAAGATGGTGGGAGCAGTACAAGCTTTTGCCCTGGCCGGATAATCTGGCCCTCTTCATCAGCGCCGCCATTCCTGGAAACGTAAGTAGAACCTGCCCATCGAGAAGTGGTTTCCTTTGTTGGCTTCAAACACGATTAAAAATGCGGTGGCAACAAAGCGTTCTTCTCGGAAGAATAAATGCAGTTTTGATTCGTAAGAGTATTGCGAGAAATAAAACCATTTCAGAAGTAAAAGAGAAACTTTAAGCGATCCTTTTAACGAAATAATGGTCTTTTTCCTGGGAAGAAAGGCCCGCGATAGCGATAATAGATGCAGCCTTGCCTCAGGTAGTCGCTCGTGTTACGTTCGGTCTCATTACGCTAATGAATTGCCATGACACGTTTCGGTGTCGTTAACCTAAGTAGGTGCCAATCCAGTCATGCCACGCCCAAAAGCGAAAAAACTGTACGGGACGATGATCCTATAATTTCGCAGCCGGTGGCAAGTTCGCTTCTTTATCCTGTCAGCTAGCTAGCTGTTAGCAAAGCTAATACAAACGCAAGGAACGGAACATGACGTATTATTTGCTAGGACCTTGACATAAATAAATATCCCGTCGCATACAATTAGTCGTATTATAATTAGTTTCATTGTGATAAGTGCTTGTTTCATGATAATTTAGTCTTCTTTAAATCGAAACGCCACCATTTCTGCATAATTTAAATACTGTGTCCTTACTTTAGTACAGTGCGGTGCATTAAGTCGCTTCGGGTTGTATTGCCAAAAAGGATCTATGTTTAAATAATCAAGTAATTTTTGTCCATCCCTAATTATTAGCCGAACCGAATTAATGCACCGTACTGTACACTAAAATGCACATGTCATCTTCGATATTTCCAATATTTCGAACAATCGTCGTTTCATGATCTGATTACCGATACTTAATGAATTTTCTAAGAGACCTCCTTTCTATTATTCTCTTTTCAATTCTCTAACGACGAACCAGACGGAGAGCTTCAATTTGGACAATGAAGCCGGGTTCGGTGCAAGCTTCCACCTCTGGTCAATGACTCAGTGTCGGAGTGAAAGTGCAACGTACCGTAGCGAAAAAGAAGGACGAACCTACGCGCGCGCATCATGCACACCTCACATATACACACACGTATATTCTTCTTCTACACAGACTGATCCACTTACTCCAATCGACTTGTAATAAAATATATGTCCATTGGTCATCGAGTGCTAGTGGTCGACTTGCAATTTGCAATCATCAATTGCTACTGGCGTTACATTAATAGAGCGAGAGTTGATCGATCGCCACTAAACGATTTAATCGTTTCCTTATGCAACCGCCCTCTTCGCCTTACACACTTGGCTCTAACACTAATTTCATGTATTAAACCGCATGGAACGTGCGTCCAGAATGCAACGATTTTCGAGAAAGTTTCGAGAAAAAGCGGTTTGATTGCACGATGTCGCGCCATGCGTTCAGTTATTTCTGCTGAAAATATCGTTATGGATCTTTAAATACGAAACTAGCCGAGGTGTCGCATTACATCGCAGAGCATGAAAGAACGTTGGATTAATTCAATGTTCTCCGACGTTTCTTTTTTTATTATTCACATTGCAATGTCGGAGAAAGATACATCTGTGCTACCGCATAAATTTCGCTGCATTCCTCGTCTACCTTCCGACTGTCGTCCCGTCATCTTCGCGCGAGAAGCATTATCGCGTTTATGTGCAGTACCTGGCTTCTGCAGCCGATGATTCACGAATTCATTGTGGTCTCTGTATTTGCAATGGTATGGCAACGATCTCGAATTCATCAATAAATTTGCGCGGCATAAAATATCCAATTTATATTACAAGTAGACTTTAATACATTTGTCTTGATATGAAACGAAATGCAGCCTTTGCAATGTAAAATTAAAATAATCTCCCGCGAATTATAATTTCAAACCATCAATTTCCGTCAAAGCAGCTGTTGATGGAAACTTTAGAGCGAGATCCAAATTGCACCAGGTGCGTTTTAGATGTATTAACGACATTTCAAATTACCGCAACTGGTTGCTACGTTCTTTCGCGAATTTTCGATTCAAAGCGCAGCGTGCATGCAATTGCGTGCAGTGGATCTCTAGGAACGACGGGTTCCGATTGGAATTTTTGCACGTAGGTAGGGGACAAGGTCCTCAGCCACGGAACAAGCCCACGGTTATATATACATACGCCCGGTCATGTAATCGCGTAATACAGAGTGTCCGATTTGTGAATGAGCGGTACTGCGGTAGTCAACACGGGCTTCTGAGCTGCGCCTTTCATTGAAATCTAATTGGGATGCAAAACAACGATCGGCTGCTACCTTTCCCCACGAGGAGGGTCGTTCGCAAGCTGCCAAACTTGGCAGTTTTACATGCGCGACGGGTAAGTCGCAGAATTCCGAGAAAGGAGCTGTCTCGTTTTTCGTACGTGCAAGTGAAAGATGACGGAGAAGCTATCGAAAAGATAACGGTGGCCGCCGAACGACGCCGAAAATGCGGAAAGAGAAAGGAATCGTCTTAAGAATGAAGGATTGTTACCGTTACTCTTTTTCTTTCAAAATACTTGTCAACGCGGTTGTAGCTGTAATCAATAAAGCTTGACGTAACTTCTTATGACAGCTCTACGTGCCTGAGAAGGTTTATGGCTCATCGTCGCTGTAAGCGAAGAATGCGAGAATCCTCCGTGGAGGCGACGTTAATTAATGTATGATGTATAAGGTATCGAGAGACAGTCTTGAAGAAAAGATATTTTAGTAACAGGAACCCCGCCTTTTTTCGCAATTATATTTAGAGATAAAAATCTCAAAATACTTCCACCTTTTATTGGATTTTCCTTGCAACGATTTGAGCATACGGAAAATGTGAATGACGACATCGTCGACCGTTTCCGATCAAATTGATATTCCTCCAAGCGATTGCCGGTCGATCGATTGCAAAACTCACGGTCGGTTACAAAAGTGCACGTCGATGTCCAAGAAAGAAAGGAAAATATCAGGCGCCGTCGGGTTTTTCTCCGATTAATATTAGAACAGTTTGAAACGGTAGCAGTGAGTATGGATAGGGAGAAGCCCGTAACGCCGGGCCAAGAGAACAAGGGGAAAGTGTGTAGACGAGACGTGGAAACGTGTTTGGCATTTGTTAAGACGAATTTTGACGTCGGCGCCGTTCAACCAATATCGATTTATTGCAAACTCGGATTTTTATCCGAGTGGTGAATTTAAAGACGGCAGATCGAATGGTTTTAAATTTATCAGCGCGAGTCTCTATTACGCAAGCCAACTCAGTCGACATTAATAAGAAAATTAATGCATTACCGCGCTTATCTTAGGTTCGCCGAGAAAAACACGCCAAATATAATTGGCACATATTTCTTTGTCCGTTTCAGGATGAACGGGGGCGATTGATGAGACGCAACATCGTGAGGTACGCCGTGCTCGCGTACGTCATTACACTGCAAAGGATTTCGCTCCGCGTTAAGAGGCGTTTCCCGACTCTTCAGCATATGGTGGATGGAGGTAAGTAAGTTACATTTTCGAAATCACGTTTTAGTGATACTAGCATGCAAAAGTGCGATACAAGCGATGTCTTAAACTTTCTAATCGCGATGCGATATAATTGAAGCATATGGAAATTGAACTTGATTTCGCGAAACATTCCTGAGGGCATTTATTTGCTGCGATCGCACTTAATTCATCAAGGCAGGACGCAGATCAAATTAACACATTTGTCCTTTTTGATATTTTATTTCCGACAATATATAAAATCGTCTGGACAAAACATTCGTCCTTCCTAAATAGGATTATAATAGCAGATTCTCCAAAGTCCTCATCAAAATTAATTGTGATTGGGAAGATTTCTAATGTGTCGTTATCGTGAATTATTATTCTCCCGATGAGGGACGTCACGCTTAGCCTTGATTTTCACGGATCGTTGCGATCAACTGTTACTTTTTATGGATTTCTAATACTGTACGTGTCTCTATTACTCGAGTCTATTTATGTAATATTTTCTCCACAAAAATTGTCAATTTCCAGAAATTAATCGACTATCGATGTAAATTTTCTCTCCATGCTACTCTTCGGTTTACATCTACACGTGTAAATGTCTACACATCTAACAGATCTCCTTTTACCTGTGTAAATATGTAAAATTTTTTAAAAGAAAGGTTGAAATGTTTTCGACAATTATTCTAATAATACTCTCACGCAATATTACTGTTAATCAATGTCATCGTTGGTATTTCTTCCTGCTTACGACTGCTGGAGAGCGTCGTAATAATCATCATACGGTCAAAGATACCGTCAATAATTACGATAACAGTACTGTTGTTCAAACTTTTTCTAATTAGATATCCAGCTATTCTTGCGACCAACGAATGCAACGAACGAAGATAATATCCTACTTGTATTGAGCAGAAGTCACTTTCCTCTTTGTGCTTGAGTTCACACGGTTCTCTTATCACAATCACACGCCACCTTTCCATTAGTCAGCGTGCGTATCGGCAGGTAAAGCCGTTCACCACGTCATCCATAAACATATAATATAATGTCGCTTCGCCGCGTGTGTGACATGCCGGCGCAAGGACAGTCTGGTTATTCTGACTTTTTTCGCCGCACTCGGACTGCGACTGCGCCGGCAATCGCAAGCGATATCGTGACCATTGAACGCTCGACAACTATGACACTTCTGTCGCGCGTTAGACGTCGAAATAATAGATGACGGCGGAACAAAGTCGTGTGTTTCAGCAGTTAGCGCATTAAACGGTGCTCAACGGCGCAACGTTGAACAATACGCGGACACCTATTATGCAGTTGCATAGACGATAATTCATTTTAACTTTGTCTTAGCGGCACGTTTACAGATAACATGTCAGATTTGACAATTTTAATACGAATATGATTGGAGACGAAGATTAAAATACGAAATATGAACTGTCTTTAATGAGGAATAATTCGACGTTATTGCGGGCTGTTTTATTTATCAATTGGATATGTTCTGCTTAAATTGACAACTCACTTTTGGTAGTATAAACATTAAATGTCTACAAAAATTATCACTTCGTTGCTAGAAATAATTTGGTAAACGAATAAAGCAAAACAATACAATATTTTATTCAAGCGAAGATTCCCCTTCGAGTTATCAATCTTCATTATCCGGACATGGGAATTATTTTCTCGATTGTTACGTTATCTCTGTTACTTCCTGTGATTCCATTATCTACAAAGAAACCTGCATGTCTGCGTTCAGTTTCTTACTATCCCGTCAGAGAGGATGTTACTCCAGAAATAGTTCGCATTTCTCCAACAAGGAACCCGCGAGCGTTCCATGAACATGAGGACACCGACCATCCTTAGATCGGAGAATAAGTGGTGGAATCTACGGTAAGAACCCGCTCTTCCGTGGAAATGACTGACTTCGTGGTGGCGTCGCCAAAGAAAGAAACGTGCCAGCGCGACGAAGAAGCTCTGGCTCTCAGAAGAACAAACAGGATCCAAATAGGAGGAATCTTTATAATCGTGGAAACAAAATCTCCGATGCCCGACATGATCTGTACTCATTAATAATGTATGTGCGAAAAAATGCATTGCACTTTATCTATAAATAAAGTGATGCCAGTTCTTTTCTGCTTTTACAGGAGAACAATCGTTCGTGTAACGAGATAATCACTAAATGATGAAACCGAAGGAATGTCAACGGAACGCCGAAGTTAATAATTTTCACGGCGTGCGCATTAGAAATGTAACAATTCTCACTTTGTGCAAGCAGAACATTATAATTGCTGTCTCCTGTGAGCGAAGAATGAGGAAGTACACGCGAAAGGTGTCCGCACATTATTAATTTTGCAAATTTACGATAAAGCGAAAAGAAGACATTTTCTACAAGTTACTCACACGCTGACTTGGTTTAAACAGATCATTTAACGCGAACATGAGCACTGATTTGATAATTTGAGTTAACAAGAGAGAAAATAATAGATCAAACTATGCTCTCACATTTGAATGTGCAATAAATATATATTCTTTGAAAACACCAAAATCTTTTATGTACAAAGCGCATGATAAAAGATCGTACAGAAATAGATTGGAAGAAAAGAATGAACACCACGATATCATATTTTTTCTCTGAAATACTTCAAAAGTCTTCAAGACAATACGTTCATACATGACAAAGTTACGAACGAGAAAATGCTGATGCAAATACGAACGTCATGAATGCAATTATGTAGTTATATCAAATTCCAACACAACATTATAATTTAGATATAAAATTCTATATTATAAAAATAAATATTGCATTCAAAAGATGAGAAGATAATGGCTTATACATGGAAGCATATAATACGAAGGAAAGATTATAATCTATCGTTTTTGTCTTGTATCTCTAATTAAAATGTGACACTTTTGAAGCTACGCGATACGCGAACGTAATGTCCGCTTTGGCGAAGTCACGGATAATAAATTTCGCAGAACTGACCCCTCTCAACAGATATCTTTTTCAAGAAAACATATGTATATAGGTATAGGCATAGTGTACCAATGCAAAATTGCAATGGACATCATTCAACACGATTTCATGCATGCGCGTGTCCGACGACTGGTCGTTGACATCAATGAAGAATTGCGAAAGACACGGGATAAATTTGCCTCTATGACTCGTGTCAGTATTTATAACGTATATATTATATGTATTTGTCAAGGAATCACTTAAGCCCGAAGTTTCCGGTAATAAGAATACACGGGGAAAAATGATGTTGTACCAGTGTAATTGAAATAAAGTCGTTGAAACAACATCAGTATTAATGAACGGAAAACATCGGATAGCTGTCTTAATAATCTGGATACTTAGTTGAATGCTTAAAATTTAAATCCATAGCAAATACAATTGGGTGAATTATTTATGCTTGTGGTAGTCCATGACGTTAACGTTTAATTCAAGCAACTTCAGATTTTTTAATTCAATAGCATATTTTCCCGTGTACGAACTTTATCTCGTGTATATTCTTGCAACAATAATTAAAAAGTCAAATAGTTTCGAATGAAATAAACTTCCCGCCTCATTCTCGACTTGATTTTCGAATTTGACAGCTACCACGGGTGGTCTCGTGGATTGAAAATATTGGCACGCGAATATTTTCACGTATTACATGTTATATTAATATCTTAAACGAGCGTTTCGCGAATGCACTCAATAATGAAACAGACCTCGGCGCCGAGGATCCCTGGAAGAGCAGAAAGTCGGTCCGTCGCGTGTCTGGCGATCGCGAACGATCGCGCGAGATTACAGTGCGACGAGAAGAAATCTCGAAACTCGAGTCTTGAAAGTAGTCGAAATTATCCGCGTGTACCCAATTCCCCCGGCGAATTACGATCTGGAAATCGTCAGGCGCCGCGACGGCGGTCGCGCTCGTCTATACTGTCGGCCGCGACTGCCTCTCGCGCGCCGGCAGGCAATTTTCACGTGCGTCCGGGTAATTTTCAACGAGCACGTCGAGAGACCGCTTAGAAACGCGGAGCGCCGGCGCCAGTTCCTCGTCCTTTTCCTTTTCCTCCTCGCGAACTCTTTGTTTTGCAGCCGCGCGGCTGGAGCAAGCGCACGCACAGCAGCATCTCACCGCTTCTATTCCCTGGGCCGAGCCGAGCAGACGTTGCGGGCTTCTTCTGCCTTCGCCTCCTCATCCTGTTCTCGTTCTTGCGTGCCGCTTCTTCCTCCTGGCGCATACAGAAATAACCCGATGCGATTGCGGCCGATCCGATGCGCTAATGCCGTGCGTCGCTCGATAATCATCGGTCACGTCTTCGCGATTTCCTCGAGAGGAGTTCCTTGGTCTTCGTACGGCCCTTGCTTCTCTCTTTTCCTTAGACCTCCTCGCAACCATCCATTGATTTTCACCGTTAACGCACGGTACGCTTTTCCCTCTGGCTCCGCCACAGATATCGCTTAGCCGTTTCACATGCAGGCGAATCTCGTTCTGTTTCAACACACGATCCGTCAATTTATCGCTATGTGTGTGTGTGCATACTCTAAATGCACTTGCTGTCAGGTTAATGGCTTTCAGATAGAATTATAATTTTTCTTTATCCGCGATATGCCCGTCCATCAATCCGCGCGAGGCAAGCAACTTATTAGCTTCGTTCAAAACGATCGTCGGATTGTTATGTCGGGCGATGATGCTCAAAGCGACTGTGGATGTTATCTCGGGATCTGTGAGATTCCGTGCAGTTAGGCCGGGACTAGATGTTAAATATAGCCAGCGTAATGAGAGCCGCGACTGCAGGTGGTAATCGACTCTTCGGCATCACGCTGGCGATACGTGCGCTGCCGTTTCGCCTTCTTCGGCAGCTCCAGCAGTCGCGAAGGCTTCAGGAATCACACTGCTAGCCGTCATCATCATCATCATTATCTTCAACGTCGTCGTCGTCATCATCATCATCATCATCATCATCATCATCATCATCGTCGTCGTCGTCGTCGTCGTCGTCGTCGTCGGTGGCGTCCTCGAGTCCACATCAGCGAGAGCAGAGCAAGAAACTCGAGAATCCGTTTCTTCATTTTTTTCCCTGCCCCTACTTTTTCTTTTTCCATTCTTCGTGTAAGCTCACTGGACGACCGTAATACGCCAATGGGCGCGCAGCACGCGCTACCTATATTTAGCACAAATTATTGTCCCAGGTAGAATTTCTCCGGCGATTATGCCAAACGATCGGCGACGCGGGCGCGATCCGCAAGAAAATAATTACGCCCGGATATAGCAGCTTCGAGAGCACATGCTCCATCAGATCGGCAGATAAGATTGCCCGGTAGCCGTGGACTTGAATGAAATTTCACAGTAGCCAAGGCGAGATATTAATTAGTCCCGCGATAAGAGGGACTTCATGCGCGATTATGCGCGTGACACAATTGCGGGCGTCATCTCACTAGCGGATATCGTGAACGGCAATTGGGCATTGCGGGGGGAAACAATCGAATTCTTGTAATTAACGTCTCGCAGATAACGGATTCCTCTGCGATTTATTCGTGGAACTCTCCAACATTCTCGAGTCCCCGCGAGGAACAGTTATAGAGCGCGTCTGGGTCACGTGGACGTGTCACTAGCCTCAAAACAGCGGAAAAACCGTGAACTTTACTTGAACGTAACGTTACGTACATATCGGCCTTGGGGAAGGTCGGACCTTGACCGTGCTCACCTAAATGAAGGAAACGAGAGAACGGGGAGAAACGCGCTGGACTCCCGGAATATAAGATTTCTTAATCGTTTGGCGGTCTTTATGCGTGTGCGTGCATGTCGTGTGCGTATAAATCGGATATTGACACGCGTCGTGCATAAGCGTGGATACGATTCATGCTCAATTTTTTTTTGCAACGCGAGAAATAACCAAACTGTAAAATAGCAAAATTTTTCATTCACATCTTAAACACAATGTTTCTTAAGCCCGTCAGTCTACGGATAGAGATTGAGATTAGATTTAAATTTAATCAATCAGAGTAAAGTTCACTAGTTTCAAGCTTAGTGACTTTTACTCAAATTTCAATCTAATCTCAATCCGTAGTCTGATACGGGATTTACAAATTCCTTTTATTTATAATCGATTGTTCGGTGTAGGTTCTTTGATTCATAGAAGTTCACGATTAAAATTAATTCTTGTGCGTACGCGTTATAGTTAATTTGACGTTTATGCAGTGCCGTTGCATCCACCTAAACAATTAAGGATGCGAATCGATGTTCATTCGCATTCTTAATTCATAGTCATCGGTATACATCACATTTGATTAACGTGCTTTGCACAAAAGCTTCGTTTTCCACGGTACAGAATAATTAGGAATGCGAGTCACTTTGGTCACTGATCTACGGAATTTTAACTGATTTAAATAGAGTCTTTCTATTCTGAAAGTGAGATTGGAGCATTTACATGCGTTACCTGTCCGAGATAATTACTGTTAAATAATCTTTCACGAGGAACGAAATTTTATTTAAAAAAAATGTACTCAAATTTTCGTGCTTGATCTTCTATAAAATACATTGTCGTAATCAATGTTGAGATATTGAACTCAACTTTTTCTCACAATATAAAGTCTACGTAAATTTTTATGCCATATGAGAACAATTGTAAGCGATATAGCCTTTTAAATACCGTTTTCCAATCATCTGTTCCTTATCGATGTATATCGCCGTGTGTGTGTTTTACCTAACGATTCACATCATGAATAAATTACTATTCCATCTCAGAAAGCGTGAGTAATGTCAGATCGAGTTTTACGATCCGATTGACCATGGAAAATCCTATAAATTTCTCCTGCGGGCATAGGAGATTCGCGCTTGGCGACGGAAGCGCTTTGCCGCTCAGATGATAGTGAAATCGTTAATGGCCGCGTCATGTGTTGTGCGATTTGCGGGTATCGGCAACGCACGTGAACGCATAATGCACGCGCGTCTTGACTTAGAGCACGGTCGATTTTCTCTTTGGCGCGGTCGATTGACATCCAGCGCGCATCCGTCGCGACGCACGCGCCGAGTGGCTCCAAAGTTGCTCGCCTCTAATTACGCGAGAATATTTCCTAATCAGTGCATTTTCACTGGCGCCAAGTCTACGACTGGTTGTGAGCTCGGCTTCCACATATGCACGTTGGTGCTAACAGAAAGTACTATTATTCATGTGCGAGAAGTTTATTATTACGCGCAAGAAATTTCAAAAAGCGAGCTCGTATCTCCTGGAAAAATTTCAATAACTGTTGGCCAAACCTTTTTTCCCTTATTTTGTCGTTTCTCACAACAACAATTGTAGATCTGAAGAAATTTATTCTGTAATACACGCCTAGTAATAATATTTTATTTGAAATATTCTAATTGCGTGTTAAATTAGTGTCGAATATAATGTTCGAATAGAATGAAATTTAATTCTCAACTAAAAAGACAGAACTTTTTCTTCTGCAATATAGCAGGAATGACTTTTTTTTTATTGCCGATAGTTATTCTGCGAAAGAAAGCTCGATATAATACCCGGATATCACTATATCAATTCGAATGTCCCAATGTCGACATCCCACGAAACTTTTACGTGATACATCCGCATTCACGGATTCCTGCGTTGTAGACTATACTTAAGGAGTTACGGACCGGACGGCAGACTGGTTTTCTCCGAAGGATGCTTTTCAGCGTCGTCATGGCGCGCTGGCAGGAATACGAAGAACAGGCACAGGACCGAGGGAGAGAACTCGGTTTATTTTTTATTTCTATCGCGACCTTGCCAGCAGAGCAAGGATCCCCGCGTTTCTTGAACCCCACTGTGTATCCTTCTCCCTGGATGCCCATACTTCATCTTGCTCATCCACGTCTGTAGCCAATGGTCCCGCGAGGTAAACATCCTGCCAGGAATGAAGGGAACCACTTCTTTATCGCCAAAGTCGTTTTATTGTATGAGACTCGCGAAACTTGACTGCGCTTGGGTGCAATTTTCTGGAATTGTGTCCGCGTAATCGTTATTTTAAAAAAAATCAATTTTGAAGGAATAAAGGACTAAGAGCCGTGACAGGGTGTTAATGTCTAAATATTTCATATTTTAAATTTATTGCGAATCCAAACCCTGGCTGAGGTAATATTTTTCGCAATAAATTTAAGATATGAGTTATTTAAGTAAAAATAATCACTTTTCTATTCTTGCTTGTCATTTTCTATTATTACTTTTCCTACGTCTTAGAAAATTATACAGACATCTGTCTATACTCAAAAATATCTTAATATTTTTCTTGTGCATTGATGCATCGGGGCATTAATTTAATTTCATGTTCTACAACATCATCCATCCTATATCGGCCAAAGCGTAAATGTTGTGAAGAAAGCTGACTGCTAATCCAGATTTAATGATCGCGGATTTAAACTCATTACACGCGCATTGAGCTTTATACTACAAACGCTCTATCGTTCTCCACCGATACGATGATTATGATTTACGAGCTACAGTTTAATATAAACAACTACGGGGTCGGAGAACTATGTATGGCCAGGCACTAATAAGCGTTGATTTGCTCCTATTAACAGATGCTAACGGCATTAAGTAACTCTTGCCTCTTCTCCTAGAGACAGTAGTAGCGGCACTGTGTCGTCAGACACGCGGCGTCCCCGCTTTGAGCCGTAAATTTTACACCAACGCGTGAATTAAACGGATCTCACCTTGCACGAACTGTACGACCCGTTAAATGTTAAGAACCCGTGAAAGTGAATATAAATTATCTTTATAGCTGTGGACGCTTTCGAAATTTTTTAGGCGCGTGGCGCCCCGCATTTTTCGCGCGGAAATTGTAAATCAAAATGTAACATGTGACAGCGTAAATGTTTTTTTTTCTAAATTTTGCAAACGACGTGTTGTAATTTGATTAATTATTTCAGATTATTTAATCTCGTTTAAGAATTTACGTTTATGTTGAAGGTCTGATAATATCCGTTTCGACATATTCGGTCTTCACTGCCAGTAATTAATCGCAGCACACGAATGAGTCACTCGAATGAATTATCGGCTGTTACTTTCAGTAGCTGCCTGCGAATTCTCAAGCGCATTGTGCCACGATATCTGTGATTGTGTGACATCGGTATCAAGGTCGCATGATGGGGCGAGCTGATCGCGTATCAAATCGATCGATCACTCAAAAACGATTTCAGTTCAAACATTCTGCGATGTTTACTGATATTTGTTAAAAGCGTACACGCAGGGTATATTTTTGATTAAAAATCCGATAGAATGACGGAACATTTAATTACTTTCATTTCACACATGTCCCAAATGTTTATATGAATTATTTTATACGGGAGAATTGTTTATGTCTCTTTTATGGAAGGAATTGTGGGATTATATTCTGTAAAGTCGTATGAATCATGTAAGTGTAAAAACATGAGATACATGCGGTCTCCCGAACAGTACATCAAGAAATACATTGTAGACAAGTACACGTTTAAGAGAAAAAAAAAGAACGGGATAACATGCGATTCTTAAAACGGTGTGTCAAAGGATGCTGAAACACGCATGCTAAACATGTACGAGCATACATACGTGCTATGCATATGACCGTACATCTCGCAGAAGAGATGAATGGACGGATAAAATTGATCGCAAATAAAAAAAAGGATTTTAATGCTGTGCACTTAAGACGTATAAATCACGTAAAGCGTTAAATTGAATGCCATGGTTACCCGTACGTCAGTTTTTACTATTAGGCGTGTACCTGATCCAACTACGCTCGCTGAATAAAAGAGCGTGCGTGTGCCGTCATTAGTAATCTGCACGTTTCCACCGTAGTGTATTTCATCTCTTTGCAGACTACTGTTTCTTCGATCGACTTGTCGCGCCGCGAGTTATTTCGATAGCTGCCCGTAGGAAGGCTGCTTCATTTTTTCGGGCAACGTCCCAGCTTAGTTACGGATGTACGTTCGTGCGAATGCGACCTTTTCCGCTCTAACAATAAAAAGATATCTCCGAGAAAAATTACTATTACCGTTATTCGATCGGGCACCAATGATCGAGCCAGTAGCTGCTCCTTGCGGTCGCCGTAACTTTTAAGGTAGTTTTTGTTTCGACTACGGTCGCTCCCAGACAGAAGACCAATCTATCTGTTTAATCGCAGATTATCTATTGCATTTATGGGATGTGCAATGGTGGCAGCTTAAATTTATACAATTAGAGTAACAGAAATTAATCACAATATATAAAATGAAACTAATTTGTAAAAATGGTATACAATAAAAGTGGTATACACGCAATAAAAGTGATATGCAATCTGCTAAAATACGGCAATGTTTAGCAGAACTTTACGATACCGGCTGCATATCATATGTCGCTAATCAGGAAATAAAGCAGAATTTTGCCTGAACAACGATTTCACTTTAGTTTCGAGGAAACTATTACGCAGACAATGGACATGTTTTGCATTAGTAGTTTATATACAGTTTCACGTACGCACCCACAAGTCTTACGACCTAGCTCAAACGAACATATGACTATTCTAGAACTTGCGCACGCGAAAGTCGGCGAAAGATACTGATTGCTTGATAATTCGCTGCCGATTAACGAACCGTGCTGATGGATTTGTTAATTAACGCACAGGATCGCGGAGCATTGCGAGGCTCAGGTTGGCTGACTTACTGCCCTGTGATACCGATCGCGATTTACAATATACAAGCGCCCGTATCTCGTCGAGGAAATTTTTCAAGCGTCTCACGCGGGGAAAGTTCTGTGTAATTACACAGTTCGCCGGGACGTCCGGAAATGTTTTTCGCTTAAGTCGGGCAAGCAACGAAACAACTCGTGCTTAATCTCGTTAATTTTCTTAGGTCTGATGATGGAATCGGAGAAAAAAATCTTTGAGATGATGAACAAGAAGGCGGCGATGTCTAAGTATTGGATGCCGTTGGTTTGGGCGACCAATATCATCAACAGGGCGAGGAAAGAGGCTCTGATTAGTAGCGATCACGTAGTGCAAACCCTCCTTGTCGAGCTCAGCGACATCCGGAAGAGGCTTGGTGCATTGATTGGTTACGATACCGTCTGTGTCCCCCTAGTCTACACTCAGGTGAGTATTTTAACGTGAAATCGAAAAGCGTTACGATCAAATGCGTCAGTTATATGTTTCTTTAGAGCTCGTTCTATTAATTCTCGCGAAATTGAACTTGGAATTATAAGCATTCATGTGTAACAGGCATCGATAAATTTAATAATTTAACAAATTGTTGGATATCTGATTGATTGGTAAAATATATTGAAATAGCAAGTAAGAACGAGGGAAGAAATCTGCAAGACAACAATTCATGTACAAATTCGTTGGCATATATATCCCGTCAATGATTACAAGAGTAGCTAGAAATTCTGGTAGTTCGGTTTATTCGTTCCACGTATTTTACGCAAAGGAGAGAAAAGACATTATTACTTTTGTATGCTTTTCTGTTTATTCCTTCTTGCGTCGGTGCCATGGAATAATTACACGTCGGTAGTATCGCTCATTATTGGCAGATGTCGAATATGTTACGTGATTCGTGAATGTCTTCATCGTTCTCGAGTGATCGTGTCATTATCATGCTTTAAGCGCCAGAAGTGTGACGCATTATTATGTAATCTTTCGACAACTGTATCCAATACGTTATTTACATTTTACTTGCAATGTGTGACATCAAACTGAAGCCTATCGATAAGTAGAAAAGTCTGCCGCCGTCTGTTTTGCCAAGTGTTAACCATAAATATTTCCAACGTAATTTGAAAAGTAGTCTCTTAAAGCAATGCATGTTAGCTAATTGTAAGTATAATGTTATTTTATTCGGTCAAATATTAATTATATGCACGAATGACTTTTAATAATATTTTCGTATTAATAAAACCATTTATGCATGTAATATTGAATCGAATAAAACAACAATAATTATACTATCGCTAAAATTATTGCTCATCGTAGAGAACAAGTCCAGCGATAATTGTTTCATTGACATGACTGTTATTAACTAATTACGATTGCCCGGAAAACATGGCTCTTTCGATTTTTTCTATTCCACTTATTGATAACGGTGCATGCCAAGCCATTGACATTGCACAGCAATTATTAACTTTTTTTCTTCGTTGAGTAAACCTTTCTTCCTATTTAGGATTTAATGTATTTAAGTAAGTTGCGACAGTAAAGTGAAATCTCTTCCTGAAAGATGTATTTCGTATTTGCAATTAGCAAACATGCATGCATTGTGCAATTATAATTGCTTATCAACCAATTTTCTTAATTATCTCGAGCTGCTTTCGAGGAATTAAAGACCGCGTCATTTCGCAAATCCGGGCGAACGTGATGCGACGTAGAAGCTCCGCTCAAATCTTTCTGTTATAGAACGTATTTTACTCTCGCGGATTTTTAAATGCTTTCCTTCACTCATTTGTTTCAGCATTATCAGTAATTGTTATTACTCAATAATATATTATAAATATCTCAATACATAAAAATACCACATATTTGAATACATTTTACAATAGAATGAAATAAATAGAAATATATTTGATTTATTAAAAAATGACAATTATCGTTCAATGCTTAATATCATGCAAGCTTGTTATTAATTTGGGAAAAGCCACGATGTATTATACCGTATTCTTTTTACGTATAAATCGCAATATAAATCTCTTTCAAGACGATAGTGCGATTTGACGTACTCCATGAAATCGCAAGAAGATTACGCGTAACGGCCGCGGAGTACTCGCCGTAATGATACATCCGTCGAAGATTAATACCCGTTTTGGATACTCGCTGTTATTGCATTCGCCTGCATTTACGCTGCAAACGTTTTTACCTACCTCTGTAACAAACAATTTTAAGATGCCGTCACGAAATGTTAATGCATGGTTAAAATGTTTAATCGATTTGAAACAGAATTATCCCTATTTATCACATAATATGATAAATAATATTTCTTCTTTCTTATACCACAAATATTTCTAATATTTGGATATAAGTATTAAACAAAAAAGTTGTATCGTTAAAGGATGCATCTCAAAATAACTTGTTTGATGCGATTGAGACTTGACCCGATTAAAATCTGACTTTGAAGGAATATGTAATTACGGCATGTTATTTTAATGCAAGATATTATTACTTGTGCTTATAAGGGAGCATAGTTATTACAACACACATATGTGCCGCGGTTGATGCATTACAATAAGTTTAATTAAAAGGAATATTCCTTTGGGAGTTTAGCTTTAACCAATGGAGGCAGCGCGGATAATGAAACGCGCATGAAACACGAAGAATAAACGCGCTGCATGGTCAAGGTCGACAAGAGAGTTGAACAGTAATTTTTTCGCGATACGTCACGCCTTCGGGAATAAGTTTGCGTTACATCGAAGGAGAATCCTTTGGATCTGGACATCCGAAATGTTCAAAGACCACCATGCAAGACAGTCTGTCGTCCTTTTCACAAGTCACGCTATATTTTTGCATAAACTACCGTTTCCTGGTAACCTTCAGTGAGAAAGGCGGCGTTCGCGAGACGACCTTGATATTCATTCATTAAACCTGTTTGCTTGTACTTGCTCGGCACAGAAAAAGAAGCGACAGAACGAAGTCTAATGAAGTTCGAGGCTTCCGACGGGAGTAATTTGTTGCCACGACTTTGCTTTAAGTATGAAGCAACTGCTCTTTAAACGAAATCAATTTTATGACACGCTAATCTTTCCTATTGCGACGAGTGCTAACTTCTTCAAACTTTATGCTTGCGCCACGAGCACTTTTTACCACAATAGGATAAATTTCACGAAGCTTTCATAATATTTTCAGGTGGTAACACTATCGCTGTACGCCTATTTTTTCTCGGCTTTACTCGGCAGACAATTCGTCGAACGTTCAAATGGCCCCGGAAAGTATGAGGAGCCGGACATGTATTTCCCGTTTTTCACAGCGCTGCAGGTGATTAAAATGAACGATACTATCTTCAAACTGACTGTGGAATGTTGCGTATGAGTTTTCCTGCATAATGTTGAAGACTTTTTATAAAACTGACGTATGCTCTTGCAGTTTTGTTTTTACATTGGATGGTTGAAAGTCGCAGAGGTACTGATTAATCCGTTCGGCGAGGATGACGACGACATCGAGCTGAATTGGTTGATAGACAGACATATCAAGGTACGTACGATACATGAGAATAAGAAAGATGATTATGAAAAAAAATGTAGTTTCAAGAGATCCACAAAACGTTTGTAAATATTCTTTGCACGTAGAAAAGTGAATGATAGAGCAAAATATTTGCATAGAGATACACTCTTTGCTCTATACTTCAGACGTTTTTTTCTTCGTCGTATGTTAATGTACTTTTTCTCATCGTGTCATCGCGCGATATCGTATAACAGGCGGGTTACATGATCGTTGATGAGATGCACGAGGAACACCCGGAACTCCTGAAAGATCAATACTGGGACGAAGTTGTGCCCAAGGACTTGCCGTACACAGTCGCCAGTGAGCAATATCGAAAAGAAGAGCCGAAAGGTTCCGCGGAGCACTACAAAGTAAAAGATAGCGACGCTCTTTACGCAAACGTTATGCTGGGCACACAGATTCACAGTCACGGTCAGCATCGTAAGGCTCATCAAGACGATATGTACGCCGATTACGTAAGTGAATTGTTTATGAGCGTGATAATGAAAACATTTGGTATCAATATGTTAACTTACTCTCTTATACAGTCCTAGATTTACCAATAAAATATCCGAGCAATTATTTCGGATCTCAATCTTTTTGTCGATTCGTATAAATTAATTTTCTGCTGCTACTTGTGATGCCTTTGACACTAAATCTCGCATGTTCTTTAGGAGAGCGTGGACACCCCGTTGGTGGAACGGAAGAAGAATGGCTGGTTTCAACGGCAAATCACCCGAGTGGGTTCTGTACGTAGCTCCTCGACTACGTACAGCAGCGGTGGTGGCTTTTTCTCACGAAACCGTCACAACAGCGTATACAGTAGCCCTGAGACCGGCGGTCTTCCGCAAACGAATAATCCCAATCTCAAAATGTCACTCTACGATCGTCTCGTCGGGCGGAAAAGCGTCCGGAGCCAGCGCATGGGTCGCCAAGGTGCGTAGAAGCTGTTACAAGCTGTTAATAGCTAACGTCAGTCTTAATCTGCCTTGTGTTATGCGTATATTTGCTCCGATAAAACTTATAAGAACGACAGCCTTATTAATTATTTTTGTTTCGTATTTAAAGCTCATTACACAAGAATAAATTAAATGCAGCAAAATAAATCTTTGAAAACAGCAATTCCTTCATCTTAAAGTAATTTAACTGAGTATCTGAACCTTCTGTCCACACACATATTTTGTGATTTTCTTTTTGTAATACTTTATCGAATATTCTTTGTCTCATTAATATGTTTTCGGAGAAGATTCATGTTTCCGAGAATTGGGCGTTTCCAATCGAAGATTTTTCCTCTGAGTCATGAACCCGTCTCGAAAGAAAGCCTCGAAGAGCCACAAGCTTTTCCTTTATTGTTGCATTCCACGTACGCGCAAGATTGCGCAATGGTTGATCTTGCGTGACCTCTGCAATTTCCGCGGTTATTTCTCACGTCCACCGAGAAAACTCTCTAAAGTCCTTGTGTTTCTCTCTATCCTTTTTTTTTTCCTTTCTCGTAAGGAGAAAGACGGTGTCGCAAAAGTGTCATATCCGCGTAATTATATTCCCGTCTGTGTAACTCGATATGCTTCCTGGCGCCAAGCAATGGTCTAAGACTCATTTTCACGCTCGCTCAACGTGGTCTTCAACCGAGAAATGTTACAGTCGTTAGTTTAATCGACAGTATCATTACCTATTTTCTACACGCGTCCTCGGAACGATCCCGATTCCGGAACCAGTCGACCAAGCTGGCATCGTTTCTAACGGTCATCACAATTCTTGTTTTCTTCTAATTGCAGGTACTATGACGAAGCTGAACTCGGTGCCGGTAGCCCTGAAGAACAGGCCGCGCATACCAACTCCGGATGTGACGAAGGAGGTGATCGACCGTGAACATAGGCTGGCTTTGTCCGCCACCAATGCGGCGAACATCGGCGCGGGTGTGGTGGGCGTGATACCAGCGAACGGCCACTATCCAACTGATTTGTCGGTGGTGGTGTTGTCGCCGATACAAGAAACCGAGAGCACACCCTCTTCGGGAAAATCCGGAGCGGCGGCTTTGGCGCAGGCCGTGCTCTCGCCGACGTTGACCGGCGCCGGTCTGATGACACCGGTGACCTTGACACCGGTCACCATGGGTCATCTGACGCAATTGGGGCTGATGACGACGGCGACGACAACGACGCCGCATAACAATCAAGGCAACATCGTCCAGGCGACGCTGACGGAGGTCACGAGTGAAGAGGAAGGTAGCGGAAGCGGTAGCAGCAGAAGCGGAAGTATTGCTGGACAGGAGGATCGCTCGACGCCGTTGATCGACAACACCAACAGTCCGATGGGTAGCAACGGCAGCTCGCCCGTCTTCGACGGCTACAACGATCGCTCACCAATCTTGATGAGACCTGAGAAACTAGGCTACGTGGTCACCGCCGCTGTGCCTGGAACTCAAGTTAATAAGACGGTGGCGATAGACGCGAGAGGTAGACGATCAGCCTCGCTGCCCGGTCCGCCGGTACCACTGACACAGTCAGGTCGGGACGACAGAAGCATGTCGTTGCCGCAATCTCCAGGATTGCAGCCGAGAGAAGGTATAGCTTCGGTGACGAACAGGCAGAACGGCCTTACCGTGGACAGGTTGGCCACCGTGTCCAGTAATCAAGGTATTCGACCGAGGACCAGCAGTTTCGGCCATGATCTCTCCAGTCAGAGGGTCCAGGATGCGTCGAGAAAAATCAGCAGCGTCTCGTGCACAAACGCATCGCTTTCGAGCAGCTTAGGCACGACGTCGCCAACATCGTCTACGAGCGTATCCTCCACGACGACCGTCGCCGGTAGCAAGAGAAACGAAGTATACGTTTGATGGAAGAAATGACTAATGCGGACTTTACTCGTTCAGCTAATTACTGGATACAGCACAGTGTCTTGTCGACATTTCCCGAGATTCATCTTCGTCCCTTATTGTGACGCACCATGTGGCGGATCTATTTATTCCTTGACCGTCTAGATTTTTTATCAACGCAAATACTAGCGCCTGAATTTTCTTCGAGATAATTCGTTTCCGTTTTCAGATTCCTCCAAATCGGCAGGAGCGAGATACAGACAATTCTATTTTACCTCTCTTATGACTTTTTGTTTAGAATTCTTCTTTACGGCGATTCTCCTGATGAAATATGGGTTTCCAAAACGGGTTGCCATTTATTTCATACTCCTTTACTCACAACTTTCACTTCTCTAATCTTTTATAAAACTGAGATACACATGGGATGAAGAGATCGGACTCCGCCGACTACGAGTCAACCGCCTTCACGTCGAACGTCATACCGAATTCTCTCCTTTAGGATTTCTTAATTAGTGCAACATCTCACTTATTTCTAGAAATAGCGCAATTACTCTTGATGAGTACAAGAGATAGCGCTCTTCTATTTTCTATAGTTTTGTTATTTATGTTAATTTTGTTCTTTTTTTTTATCTAACTTTTGAAATATTTTTTACTTAAGATATAAAGAGGATGCAGTAAGGTGTACCAAACAATTTACTGTGAATCGATCGCATTTACGATGTTACGTTTTTAGTGTGCAACGAAGGGAAATAATTAGTAGTAGGTTTCGCCAATATGTTGTAAATAGTTATTTATAACTTAAAGACTCTATGACGATCAATTTTTTAGGAGAATATAAATAAATATATATTTTGTATATGTAATTAATTAATTCTCTCTCGACCCGAGTGTAAAACGATTGATTTTCGTGGAATACGTGGAAAGAAATCGAATAACTTATTGCCAATCGATTACCAATTATTTACACTCACGACGAAAGAAAGTTATAGGCGTAATATTTCAAGCGAGATGCTTCTTTTTTTAATTTAATGGGCAATATTGGAAGTATTTTTGTATCGTCGTGCAATAATGTAACACTGTAAGAACGCGTTAATCAATTAATATTAAAACTGCACACTGTTGCTACACTAGTTAATTTGTGACTTTCACTCGTATAATATAATTTCATCACGAATTCGTTCGTTCGCACACGTCATGATATTGTGATACCACTTTTTTTTATAGATATCTAATATGACGTTTTATAAAATATCTGTAACGTTATGACAATTGTGGATACGAGAGAAATCAAATCTGTTAGTCATGTAACATCCATATGCTTTGTACATACATAGCTAATTTTTCGAGGTCATTTTATAAAAAATTTTCCACGCGTTTTATAATTGCCATAGATTCTATCGGTGCAAAATATTGTTCGTTCTTCGCATCGAACATTTGACAGCAGTATGCATTCGTATACATACATACATCGGCATTTTATCTGCCAGTTTTACATCACGTAATTGATGTTACTAAAATATTTATCAAGTATTTTATAGTGATTGCGTAACACCGTCTCTGACATTGCTTCCGATAATTCTTGAATATTCCATTATCTTTAATTTTATTCGGTAACGATTGATAAGCTAAATCGATTAATTGCAGATAAATTGATCTTTCTCAAGATCGATATGCATAGCAATATATTGTTTAAATTGTAAAATATGTTAACACTATTATCGATGGGAAACGGTTTAGGACAAAGCGCTTTTGTACGTCTCGATGATTGATGTACAAATGTGCGCTACGGCTCAAGATGTTTCTAATGTCAATTACTGACTATTGTTATTATACATTAGTGCAATTATACGACACTAACAAAAGCGTCGTAATCTCATTGTATGATGATGCCTATGTACATAATATTGTAACTTTTAAGTTGATATTTTTATCGAATTACAAATATGCTCAATGCCAAGTGCGCGTGAACCTAATGCGTAAACGACAAAGTGCTATATTACAAACAATTTACTGAATATTATCTTATCGCACAATACGTATAGGCATTGCTTCTTAATGTTATGAAGGGAAGAGTAATATTTTCGACACTCATAATGTAGTTTCTCGTATAATAGATTAATTGCATGAACGGAAATTTTATAGAATTCTTCTCATAAAATTAGTATCAAATATTGCATGTTTATCGACACTTCTATAATATTTGGTCATAATCGAAAGCTACATCTTAATTTTTACTTTTACTTTGCAAACCATTCGGATTGGATCTTCTAAAAGATTAGATTGATGCTTTGATCAAAAGGCTCAATATTGTGCTTCCGTCTTACGAAGACTATTATCTATTACAAAGACTATTATACATGTGACGTTATTAAAACAAAACGTATCTATATGTGTATAATAATTACATATTAACTATGTATTGTATAATAGCCAATTTACACATAGGTATATCGGTCTGTGATGAACAGAAAAGAATAGGAAAAATACTGCGTGCCCAATATTAATACTTATTTATAATATTATTAAATATGCCTTAATTAGCAATTATAATCGAATAGTTAGAGCGACTTCTTTGTGCAATGACTTGTTTTTGACTTCTTACGTTTGGCGACATAATGTAAGGGAGACGAATTCAATTTTGTAGATATTTAATTCTATATAGAATATTTGTACATATAAATGTATTCCTTTCTCTCTCTCTCTCTCTTTTGTTACCTCTCGTAAACGTTTGGTTATTATCGTAAACAATAGGAGCAACATATGCGACTTGTCTAAGTTCTTCGGTGCCCATAAGTAGTTATATTACCAAGTTAGATTAATATGATATCTTATTATCTCTATAATTATCTACATTATCTATGTTGGAATAAACGCTTTGGAAAAAGTATAGCATGCATTTTTTTAAGTTCTTGTAATATTAGAGCATAATATAGTAAGCAATTCTTAATTATTAAACTGAAAACTTGTAGATATTTTTCTTAACAAGAAAATTTACGATAATATTCTATCAATATAGAGAGAAGAAAATCGATATAATATTTATCATTAAATATATTTACTTAAAACTAAAGTTTATTAAATTTATTATATTGCGTGGCTAAGGAGAGGTTTGTCTTCAATTAAAGCAATAACGTTTTCATAATAGTTTAAGAAAATTTGTCACAAATGTTTACGCTTCTATAGTCTATTAAAAACGAAAAATATTTGAACAGTAATTTATAAAAAATGAATTAAATAAATTAGTAAGGCTCGTATGTGTTCAACACAAATTTCAAAGAATTTAAAGGACTCAGAGCCGTGACAGGATGGTAGTGTCTAAATATTCTATTCTAAATTTATTGCGAAAAAATATCACCCTGGTGGCCGAGGTGATATTTTTTCGCAATAAATTTAGAATAGAATATTTAGACACTACCATCCTGTCACGGCTCTGAGTCCTTTAAATTCTTTGAAATTTATAAAAAATGGTTAAATTTATGAAAACTAGAATAACACAGGCGCGCACTTCGCGCGCATCATTTATTCCCTTATAGAATTTAAGCAAAATAATTACTGGAAAATTACCGTGCATCAGTAATTTCTAATAATTCAATTACTGAACTCTAGTAATTGTTGAGTGCTTTTTTTCGTTTCCAGGTGTTATATTTATTCAAGCGATTATAGTAGATTGCATAAATTAATTCACTCACCGATCGCTGCTCCTGCACTGCCTTTCCAATTTATTCTGAAAATATAATAAACACAGTTATTATTAAGTTACTACCTTGATTGGAGGCTGGTAAAATATTTTTTATATAATAGATTAATCTTATATTCTCTTAATTTTCAAACACAATATTTCAACTAAATTTTCTATATTCAAAACGCATCGGAAAAATTACTACGATAACAAAAGAATAAGCACATTTCATATTTCACATAATCGCGAATAATTTCAATACAACAGTCGCGTATTATTCTTTTCACACGTAAATATTATATGTATATTAAATTTTACCTATTATATGCGCAAATTCTGTTCTCACGGAAAAGTTATAAGTCCATTGGCTAAAGCCTCCAGCCAATCGACTTACAGGAAACTTGCAAGAGTAGAATTGCCGTATTCGTTTCTCTTTCAAGTAACACCCCATGGTCTGCAAGACGAGGCGCAAAATGTACGGACGCGAGGTAACTTTACGATACCGAAACGCCAAATATTCAGCTCGATTTCATTCGGACACCTTATACGTAGATTATTATCAACGTATTTTTCTCACACGGTGTAATACGAGTTTTTTTTTCGAAATAGCTCGGTACGCGTTATCGTAAACACGTCGACCGTTGTGACCTCGCACTCGAGCCGGCGGGCGGCGCGGCGGCGGCTCGAGCCGCCTACCGCTCGCATTGCCCTTCGGGACGCGGTAGCGACAAGACGCGCACGCGACTCTCTGCGAACAATTAGGAAATATCGGCCGGCACGATGGGACTCGCTTCGCCCGAAGCGACTTCGTAAGCATCTCGCGACGACCGCCGTTCGCCGAAATTGATATCTCGTCGTCTTCGATGAGGCGTAAAGTCGAGGTTAGATCGCTGGAATTATATTGCTTTTGCGGAGACGGTGGTTACTTTCTCAGGCACTCGAATAAGTTGTCTAGGCGTCGCGCTTCTCCGCCGAAATCGATCGCGGGATAATACGAGACACCGAATCGAGTGAGTCGGGAAACACACTGTGAATCTACGTACAGGTCCGTTAAAATAACGCGTATCTTTCGTGAGTATTCTGCATCCCCGCCTGTACAAGTGGCTTGCGGCCAATCGTAAGACTTATCGGCCACTGTTATCGATAAAGAGGGTTCGGTGTACGGGCCAGTGACTTTAATCGCGCATTTTTGGGACGATTCGTCGCGCCTCGACCGACCATTAAGTCGCGCCGCGTCGCTCCGAAGTTGTCGTTACGAATCGCGAACGCCTGCATTCCGTCGCGCACGCGAGACACGACGATCGTTCTCTACCGAATGTCGTTTCGCGGGTGTTTCATCCTCGATTTCGACTCGGACGCTCGCAGTTCGGTTACAACGCGTGGTTTGAAGCGCGAAAGGGTGTGCGCAGCGCGCGCGGCGCGGCGCGGCGTCGCGTCGAGTGCCGCGTGAAGTTGGCCGCGCGATTTACAAACTCCGTCGGCCATGTTGGAGTCCACCTGTGCCTAACCCGAGTCCACCTGTGAATCTCGTGCCGTTTCTCGTTGTCGGGAGTGCCGTGCAAAGTAACGCGCGTTCGTCTTTGGGCAATTAGTGCGCGATCGTACTTACATTTGCGCGAGTGAAGCGATGTGGCGGCGAGGAGCCGCGTGTCTCTCGACCCTCTCGACGGAGCGACGACGCGGAGGTCCGAGAGGAGGAGGAGGCCCGGGGTGGCATCGGGCGCCGGTGGAGCAACCACGGGTGAGTAATTGATTACTTTGTTACGAGTGGAATTTGCCGTTTATCATGGTGACAATCGCGTTCTGCACGGCATTCGTATCGTGGCGCAATTCACGTAAAGCACCCGAGAAAGGCTGATGGCAGAGAACAATCCGTAAAGACTGTCTCGTCGTAGACGTAGACGTAGGTCGTAGTCGTAGACGTAGGACATAGTCGTAGACGTATGGCGTAGTCGTAGACGTAGGGCAAAGCAGAGAGAAACGTAAGTCTCGTATACAATAGCCTTTCACGACTTACGTTTCTCTCTGCCTTGCCCTACGTCTACGACTAAGCCAGTCTTAAGCGTTTACGGATCGTTCTCTGCCACAAAGCATCCTAGATTATTTTGAGAAATAGGTTAATATTCGTGAAATTTTCATTATTTCGCGTCTTTAATGGAGGAATATAAAAAGTATCTCAATGCGTTTAACGTTTATAATTATTTTAATATTTTTTATTCACGAGATACCTCGGATACCTTTGGGACAGACCTCGTGCATCTCATTTTATTTGTAATTTATTAAGAATGAAATTCTTTTCTTTACTAAATTTCACAAAAGTTTGTATCTCGGAAAAGATTTTCTGCAAATCGCAATTCTCTCGTTAGATATCCGTTTGTGAAGAGCGAAATATCGATTGCACGTCGTAATTATTTTTACAAGTTTAATTATTTTGGGCAAAGGTTTAATTTGGTTCATTTTTGTATTTTACAGATCAACGTCACATACAGATCTTAATAACTCCACTGCTGCGCATCGTACCGGTAAGTTTTAATTATTTTTATCCTAATAATGGATTTGTGAGAATTTTATGTGTGATAACAGTGTCTTTTTTTCCAAAATTATTAGCGTATAATAAGTTAAATTTTCAATGAAAAATATAAAGTATATGCATGAAAAATAGTTCGATACCTGAATGCATTATTTATTCCTATGGTTTTAATCTGTCTAAAAATTATGTAAAATAAATAAGAATTTATATTACGAATATGAAAAATATTATAGATAAATATTACAGATAAAATAATATCTCACAAATCCATTCTGTACTTTGAAATGGATGGGCTAGAATAAATTGATACTGCGTTATTTTATAATTTATTTTATAATTTTATAATTATTTTATAATTATAATAAAAAAAGATTAAATGTCAAGTTTTTGCTTTTTTACAAGAATACATAGATACAAAGCATTTACATTGATAAAGTAGAATTTATTATAATTAAGGTATTAATGACTGATTTAAACAGTTGTCAATTAATTTTGTATAATTTATTTAATAGAAAAAACGAGAGCAATTGCACTTATACTTACATTACACTAAATCGTTTATAGAGCCCGTCCATTTATGTTTGTTGAATAATTTGAATATATCGAAACGAAATAACGTGAAACGTGAGATCCCTCGCCCTCCCAATATTTCATCGCGAAACGAGAAAGATTTTTTTACTGTATTGCATCAAAGAATTAATCAGTTATACGCTCGCGTTTGTTACATTCAAATACTTAAAATTAAAATGATTTTTTAGTTTATTTTGTATGATTCCATCAGCTTTTAAATAATTTTCAATATAGTGAAAATAATTCTGTATAATCATCATTACATATTGAATACTTCTAATTTTATCGGTAACAATAACGAGATAATTATTTTAACACAAAAATCTATTTATTTTATCGAGATATGAGAAATTTATATTGGCAATAATTTTGTCGTACGTACAGTCCTTCATTCATTTGGGATCTCGCGTTATTTACTGCGGCATTCTCTGAATGTCGCTAATTAGCCGAAGTTTATTTTCGGCTCAAAGATCTGTTGACTTATAGTTCGACAATTTTGTCACGGCTTTGTTACCGACCAGCATTACCGGCCGTTTCTTGTGAATCAACGTAAAATTGCAATGAATCAATCGCAAAATAATACCGCAAATAATGAATTTAATTAATTTCACTTATAGCTGAATCAGAAATTTCGTAACTTAGCAATTAGACCAAAAACATTTAATTGATAAAATATAAAAAGTGCTGTATTTTACTTATTGTCTAATTATTTATTAGTTTGATCATATTTCCATTATTTTTTAATAACATTTATGTACGATAGATTTTATTTAAAAATTTATGAAAATAAATCTCTTTTTCTAAATTCAATTTTACGAAAAATTAATATTTAAAAGCAAGTTAGTATTAATATTAGATCGGTGTACGATTTGATGAAAACGGTGAAAATAATTTATACATCGCGTAATATAAATAAAGTAAAACAAAGGCGTGGCAAAAATGTTCGATTCTTATGCGAAGTCACAAACGTAAGTACATTGTTCTTCATTCGGCGTGATATTATTTGTACATGAGCTCGCTTAATTACAAGTGGTTTTATATTTAATTAATTAACGAGAGCCGCGAAACGTTCGAAATGCACACGCGAACGTGCCGGGTTAATAAC